GAAAGGAAAGCTCTGCAGAGAGTGTTGAAGGCTGCACAGGACTGTTGGAGTCAGTCTCCCCACCATCATAGACATCTACACCTCCAGATGCAGGAAGAGGGCCACCTGCATCATGAAGTACGGTTTTATGAATCATACAACACATCCATCCACTATCTTTCCCCACTTATTCCTTTTTGGGTCGCAGGGGTCAGTGGTGCCCATGTCCAGCCATACAGCACAACAACAACAAACCTAATAAATAAGAATGCACAATATAAAGTTATGTTAATCTACTTGTTGAGGAGTAGCCAGGTCAGACCGGCCGATTGAAAGAGGTCAAATTTAATGTCCAGTTAAGCTCAGATAGACTTATCTGATATCTTATAGAACTATCATGTCAAACTGATTTGCTTACAAAAAGCTTAATTTAAAAAGATATGTTTTTTTGGGGAGGGGGGGGCGGGGGGGGATTTGGGCCTGTAATTACAGTTACCGACAACTTGATCAGGTCGGGTTCGAGAAAAAATGGCTACGGGCCCAGGCCGTGTCGGGTCAGATTTTTTTGAGCCCGAATGCAACTCTACCCCACTCACCCAGCACACACACTTTTTGACCCGCTGCCCTTAAGCAGAAGGTTGCAGAGCATTAAATGTTGAACCACTAGACTGAGGAACAGCTTCTACCCTGGAGAGGTTCCTAAATCCCTAACAGGAATAATCAATGTAATGACACTTTAATTGATGATATGTGACATTATCTGTGCTGCTGATTATCTCTTGCTGCTGTATTCATACTCATACTACAGACTCAGGTTCGGGCTGCTGTTTAATGCAACATATTATTTTACATTATTAGTGTTTAGCGTATATCTTAGATCTTTTAGCATACCGTTTAGCATTCGTTTAGCATATATCAGTGTATATCTTAGATCCTTATATACTGTTTCATTTTTATACTTTATATTTTTGCTATTTTTGGGTGTAACTGGGACCCTGAGTACACAATTTCGTTCCACTGCATCTACCACATGTGATGCGGATGACAATAAAGAAACTTGAACTTGGATTCAAAAACCTTCATTTTCAGAGGAAACCTGCGCTGTTGTCATGTACATGAAGAGCTGAACCTCAGCAGAAACGCTAAAGCTTCACTCAAAATGGGCATTGTGTAAACAGGGCCTTGGAGGAGGGACTATGGCATCATCATTTTAAAAGAGTTGTATTTTTTACTGTCTTCACAGAAATGCAAAGATAGACATTTAAAGATTTGTTTCACTTTGAGAACTGTTTTAAAATAAAATCCTTTTTAGATTTTTGGGCTCCTCAATCTTTGTTTCAATGTGGATGCATGACTGAAATGATCAACCAGAAATTACATTGACCTGTTCACTCCTTTTTACTGCTCCTCTCCACCCATTTATTTCCTAAGAATCCTAAGGGATGTTTTAGTGTATCTCCATCACTCTGGTACTTAGGCCCCATCTGCCATTTGTCTACCAGAAATCTGCTTGTTGTCAGTGTGAATTAACAGCTGGTTGCCACAGGCGTTACACCACCAGCTTAGCTAAAACTCCACTGCCATGCTGGATTTACAAAGCACAACCGTCTGCGAAAAGAGTTGTTGCATTTTCACGTCTGTTCCCTCAGAAGGCTTGTGGAATTGTATATTTATGATGTCCTAAATTATATATAACTAGCCATATGGGGTACTCAAATGTGTACAGCAAATTATGCCTCAGGAAATGAGTGTTTTCAGTTTCTGAAGAGGGTGATGACATAGAAAGCTGCTGAGCTCCATAGGCTTTGGTAACATTTCATTTCCTTCTTTTTGTTTTATTTTACAATGAAGAGCTACATTTAAACTCTTCCAAACAGCTTATGAGTTAACGTGAGCCTCTTGGCCAGACATTTGGTTAACTAGTTTGTCACTGCGAAGCCCGACCTCTCAGTGTTTCAGATGCACTTATCTGGAGTGGCTCTGATTAAAAGGATTGACGGTCATCTGATCTGCTTTGTCCTTCTGTCCCATCTGTTAGAAGAATATGCCACTTGTTCAAAGCTTATTGTTTAAAGTATTAATTTGTTTAATACCAGGGGGTGCAGGCATTAAAAGTAGAATGATCTGGATGTTAGAAAAAATCCAAACTGAAAGGGTTAATAACATGGAAATCTTGCATATCTGGTCAAACTTGTGTGTGTAACGCCTGAATCTTTTGATTTGATAGTGATTTGGTTAAATCTAGCTCTCCTTTCATGTGGGCCTCACTAAATTTTGGTGTATGACAACATATAAAACTGCTAGAGTGAGATGGATCAGGTGTCAAATCAAAGTTATAACCTGGAATAAATATACCAGCAAAGTGGGTCTATGCATCTGTTTTCAAGATTTTTTTTTTCTCTTCAAGCGTGATGTGATTTGTAGCTATCTCACTCTTCAAGTTGCAATGTGGGCAAACATGAATTCAGGTTTATTTTCTCCTGCTGATGGGGAGCTCACTGCCTTCCTGTGTTCTCACTGCAAATTAAGACAAATACTGTGTTGATCCTGTATTGTCAGCCCTGCAATGGCGACTTTCCAGGCTGTAATGTAATACTCAGGGTGTTGAAACCCAACGGCACTACACAATATACAAATATTTTCCACGTAGTAGCTGTCTTCCAGCCCACCCCCAGCTGCTTTTTTTTAACATGTGCCTGCATATCACACTGATGCAGAGACGTTTCCGGGAAATTTAATGATGCCCCGCTGCTGATGAGTTAATGAGCGCAGTGTGTGTTTTCTAATAAATGGACAATTATGCAGACATTGCACAGAATCCCTTCTAGAGGAATGGCTCTCATAATGTGCACTTCAATAAAGGAATGATGGTGAAAATGGCATCATCCCGGGCGGTGTTTGATGCATTCAAGCAATGGATTTTCCTCTTGTTTGTATGTAAATTAATAACAGATACAAAGAAAAAGAAGAAGAGTCACATGCACGTTTCATTTTGGATGTGAAGGTCTCTTGAAGCACCGTTTTAAAACTAAGCGTGGGATGACCTAAAATGTGCTGCATGTTCTCCTGAGCCCTTCTATCAGTGGCACAGCCGTAAACAAAAAGGAATGTAAATTGTGCCCTCAAGTAATGCCTGTTTTAAAACACAGAGAGAGCAGCTATAATTTGTGCACTTTCCAGAAACAGAAAACCTCTCATTCTTTGCACACACTGGATCAAATGGCAAAGCATGTTTAGGTGAGCAATGAGAGTTTAATTCTAAGAAAGTTATAATTATTTTTTAATCCAACACTAGTTTAAGTAGTAGTAGCTTCAAGTAAGTTTAATCCATTAAAGCTAAGAAATCTTCATTCACTTATTCCATTTTGCACAATGCTCTTGTATGTTATCAGATTTATTCCCTCTTTATCTACAAGATAACTGCATCTGCAGTAAATAAACTGCATGGGAGGGAACAGCATGTCAGACAGCCATACTTCTGTTCCATCCTCCACATGGACAATGACACTGCAGCAAGTGTTGATGAACAAATATAGGGAATGGATGCTGGATGGATAATCTGCAAAAGCTGTGTGTGCAAATGTCTGACAACCAAGTTTGGACTCAAACGTGAAGAAAAAACAACAAACTTACAAATGAGACTTCTGGGAAAATGACTCATTCTTGCATCATTTGCAAGGAATAATAAACAGTCAGTACATGTGATGATAACAGAGCATTGATCTTGTACTTCAGATTCTTTGAACTCGTATGATAGCGTTTCTGAAATAATTTTGCCTCATTCCCATAATGCATTTTGTCTCACTGGGTGATCCTCACACATTAGTAATTGCAATAAACCAATAAACCTACTTTTGAAAATACTTGTATGATTTTTTTTTTTTTTTTTTTCTAAAAAGAGATTTTGTAATTAACAGAATAAACTCAGGATGATTTAAGTTCGACTTCTGTTTTTCAACTTGAGGATGTCAGATTTTTAGCAGATTGTCTGCGGAAATATTTTGTGTAGTTTTTTTTTTTTTCCACAACTTTCCCTTTAATTAAGTCAAAAAGTATGAGGATAGGTTCGTTTTTATTGCATTAAAAAATTGATGATGTCTTTATCCACTAAATTTGATTATCAGTGATAAAGTCATTATTGCTTAATGATTATTACTGAAGAAACCTATTGGGCGAAAGCTTCCGGGCCCAAATAGTTTGTTTTTCTTCCTCATAAATAAAATATAGGACTCAAAAAGGGACTCTGCCAAAAGAGGAAATAGAGGATGGTTGACAACAAAGTGAAACAACAGCAATAATTAAGGTATAAAAAAAAAAAAATCAGCATTATATTGTGTCTGTTTGTGTTATGTGTTCTCATTATAAGATTAATATGTTGCAACATGTATGGAAGAGCTGTTTAAGCTCAAGAAGTTGGACTATTTTAATGTAAGTTCGTATTTACACTCGGGGTTGGTGAGTAAAAAGTTTAGATAGGTTTTTTTTTTTAAATAACATAAGTGGACAAAGACATGCATCAAGGTGTATTTCACACCAATGCATAAAATAAACCAACTATAGATAATCTTGATGTAGGTCGGTCAAGCTCATAAGTGGCTTTGTTTGGATTCAGCCATGTGCTTTGTTTACATTGAGTGCATACCCACATTTCAGAGGCGCACATCAATAAATCTGGAAAACTGCGGGAGTGAACTCTTTATAACAGCAGCACTATTTAGTAAGAATCAGAACCTTTTTTTTTATATCTTATTGTTTGGAATGAGTACTTTTCTAAGTAGGCAACTTCTATTTTGAGACTCGGTCAGAGGCTCCTTTTTCTTTAAAGGAAAAAAAAAATCCACTTTTCCGATTCAGGTTCTGGAATCTGGAACCACCTTTTTTACGTCTCTGCGAGGCTCAGGGTGAAAACTTGCAGTCCGACTTTTAAAAGTAACCCTTCCACAGCCACGCAGCTCAGGGCAGACAAAGAGTCAGTGTGAGCCGTGGTACGTCAGCGTCTGCAGCCCCGAGCTGCTGGACGGAGCAGCGACGTCACTCCCTGACGGCGGCGGCAACAGAGCAGCGCGAGCGGCCAGCGCGAGCAGCAGCGACTCGCGCGCCCCGGAGCTCGTCTCGCCGGTGGAGGACGGCGGCTCCCGGCCGTGGGACACGCTCCCTGAACGGCGACGTACTACTTTACTGACTCAGGTAAGCGCTATAGCTTTAATAATAATGAAAACAAAGCTTTCAAAGTGCGGAGCAGCTCGTGGGGACCGAACTAGCAAAGCTCCCCGCATTGTCGCCGCCGACCTGAAGCCGTGAACTGCGTTGCTATGGTGCTGAAAGGCAACATCCCACCTGCTGCTGCCGCCACTTTAACACCGGAAAATACCAAGAAATGTGCTCAAACAGCGCCTTTTTTCCACCTTTGCTTATTAGACGTTCGTAAAGGGCGTGTAAAAATCACTTTTCACTGCTTTAAGACTCCCACTTTCTTTCAACTGGCTAATAAAGGCGTTGTTGCTAACTCCTGCCAGCACGCCTTCTAGGGTTTTCCCTTTTGGCTGCAATCAACAGATTCAAGGATGGGACATGAGTGGATGTCTGCTTTATTTACAGGTCATATTTTTTAAAATGGCTATTTCTGTGTTTTCTTAGTTAAACCCAAGGCTTGAGCAAACCCAAAGATGGTGATTACCAACGTGGCATCCCTCCTAAGGACATCAGTGGCTGTGGACGAAGAGAGCACATGTTTGCATTGAAGGTGCCTAATTTTTGTATTTTTATTTTTTTACTCAGAGATGCTGTGGTTTTACATCAGTGCATGCCAATACCAGAACTGTGGTACAAAGAAATTCCATTATCTCCATCTCTTGGCTGCGGCGACAAGGAGGGAAATCACCACGTCCTTCTGTGGTGAGGCAGGGAAGGAGGGAGAGTTATGAGTCAGAATGGAGGAGAAAAGAAAAGCTGTCAAGTCTTCAAATCCGCCTATGAACTCTATAGACAGAATGCATGTTTATTTTAAGAGCAGCACCAGGTTGTCTTTCTTTCATTGTTGTTAAGTTGGCGTCTTAATCACAACTATGAGGGGAACTTTTTTCTTTTGCACACAATAAGTTATTCCTGGAATCTTTTAAGCTTTTTATTGACATGGTGATGTGATAAATGCTTAGGATTAACGTGGATTCTTTGAGTCGAGTGTGCCGAGCGCAGGGGAGAGTGTCCAAGTAAAGGTCTGTTCATTGTATTTTGTTGTATGCACCTCCTTATTTCTGCTGTCAAGAGGGAAGAGTCTGTTCTGCAGTAACTTACCCAGAACAGTAGAGCTCGGGGTGGGAAAGGAGGGGTGTGTGAAGAACAGTGAACGACTGTGAGGCAGAGAGCGTGCCTAACACAGCCTATGAGTGACTCTTGTATCCAAGGACGAAGGTAGCAACGCATCCGAACGCCACTCTTCACCCACAGACTTGCTGTGAAGATATGAGGCGGACATCGCTGGTGCTCATGTAGCCTCAGCGACCTGCTGGGCCTAATTCTTAAAGCCCCTGGGGCTCAACGCGTCTGTCTGTTGTGCCAGGGATGATGACTGAGCAGATCTTGACCACGGCTAAAGTGAGGCACATTCACGTCGGCTGAATGGGAGCTCCCCCCCCCCCGTATTGTTAAATATTATTACTTGTCAAAGCAAGCCAAAACCAAAAGCGTCATCTTATGTTTTGCACCTATATCAGCCTATGTTTGTTGCATGTTTTTGACAGAGGAGCACTCCGGAGAGGAGGTAGTAACAGGTGCCGCGTGTCAAGGTGATTGTGGAGGTGCGGATGAGAGCTGAACATCATGGGAAAATCAAACAGCAAACTCAAACCGGACGTGGTAGAGGAGTTGACGAGGAAAACCTACTGTGAGTATCTTCAGCTCCCTTTTTCTTACTTGTATTTATTTAAAAAAAACACTTGAACTCTTTTAAGTTTATAAGAAAAAGAGTGATGGGACTACGTCATGTTGATTTTATTGCTGCAGTTTTCTGAAGATCTTTTCCGCCTACTGTGCACCACTCAGGCTGTACAGTAAATAGCACTGCCTGTTGGGATTCAACACCTTTCTCGTTACAGTCAGAACAGAGCTACAGCTAATTGTCAACCCTGTTTGATTTCAATTTACATCTAAATGTTTTGTAGCACATTATGTGGGCAGTTAAGGTCAGGAGGAAAGTTGTAATCAGTATCTTTAAATCCTGCTGAGGAGATTTGTAAACACAAAGAAGCTGAGCTTGCGTCAGCGCTTTTAGCTCTATATGGTTTTCATTGATCTTCTGCAGATTTACACTCATTTGAATGGTTTCAGATGCTGCATTTATTAACGGTAAACACATTCCTGCTATAAATTACGTTCCTGCATGGTAGAGCTTGAGATTATTGTTGCATTTTATTAGTTGCTTTTATGTGTTGACATTTTCCTCTGAATGATGAAACAAATCTTGACAGTTTTCAGTCGAAGCTGCACAAAGATTACATTTATAATCACTCCAGCATTAGACTATTTTAATCATGTGGGTTATTTCTGGAGCACAGCGCCTTTACTATTATTTGAGCAGTACAGTGTGCAGGTGTGGGTGGGAGTTGACATCCATTGGCTGCTTAATGACAGTGTTATTTGTGTGGTTGGTTTCCCCCACAGCAGAAGCATGGAGAGCTGTTGTAGCAGGAAATTGCTGTGGAGGAAGATTAGGCATCATGCTGGGCTGGACTGCCTGCCTCTGTCCTGTACTCGTCTTTCTCTTTTCACTCTCTTACCCTTTCACCCTGCCTCTCTCTGGCTTCACCCCCTAATTGCACTTTTTGAGCAGGGAATGGAATAGTATAATTAGGATCTTATCTGGTTAGCATCGCTGAGAGGAGTACCAAGCTTTCTCTCCCAGTGTGATCACTCTCCCCTGTTCTGCTGTTTCTTGAATTCAGACTCACGTCTGCCTTCTTTCATCTTATTGCATCTTTCTCTTGCCCTCCCATGAGAAGCCTTGTCTGCCATTTTAGTCAGTGCTTTCTTTTAGCTCTTGACAGATTGGGGACTAAAATTTCTCTGTGCCAATGACTATTTTTGTGGTAGGAAAAGCAGCACATTATTCAAAAGCAAAGAAGGCCGTCTGTGTCAATAGAGCCAACAAGGTGAGGCTAAAAATAAAGCTATTCATTTCAAAAGTGTATATGCAAAGATGTCTTTCTCCTGCTTTGTTGTGAGCTTATGAATAAACCATTATTTTAATTGTATTTTTTCAATACCACACTTTCCAGCTAAAGATAGCATTAGGCCATACACAATGTGTGAACAGAAGCCTACAAACCTACAAAGCTCTCAACAACCTAGCTCCATCTTATATTTGAGATCTCATTGTTCCATATTTTCTTAACAGAGCACTTTGCTCTCAGACTGCAGGTTTACTCGTGGTCCCTAGAGTTTCCAGTAGCAGAATGGGAGGAAGCTCTTTCAGTTATCAGGCTCCTCTCTTGTGGAACCAACTTCTGTCCGTGAGGCTGACACATTGTCCAGTTTTAAGACTGGACTTAAGACTTTCCTTTTTGATAAATCCTATAGTTAGGGTTGGCTTGTTATGCTGCCTTAAGCTTAGACTATTGAGAACAAACTTACCTCATTTCCTTAAATGAATTGTTAAAATAGAATAGTTTTCATTTGATATTATTTGTATACTAACATGTGATTCTTGACCTGCCATTGTGTATCTGTTCCTCTCAAACCCAGCCAGTTGAAGCAGATAGTCGCTTGTCCTGAGCCTGGTTCTGCTAAAGGTTTCTTCCTCATGAGGGAGTTTTTTCTTCCCACTGTCGCCTTCATGTTTGCACAAGATGACAGTTCTGTGATGGAGTTAAATTCAAAGCAGTCTGCTCCTCAGATAAAAAATGTTAAATTATTATTTTTATATATGAATGTTTCTGTTCAGTGTCCTGAGACGACTTCTGTTGTTACTTGGCGCTAAATAATTAAATAAACTGAATTGAAATCGAATTGAATTGAAGCTGCTGATTTTCTGTTTTTAGTAGAAAAATGAAACTCTGGCAAAAGTTTTGTTGGACTCATCCGATCATTTTAATTAGCTTAATTCTACCCAGAAATGCTTTTCTGAACGACCGCCCTGGCATCACACGGACAGAGCAGCAGTGCTGGTGAAATCTCTGAGGGATGTAGGGCAGACCCTTGTTCATGCGTGAGAGTTTTGTAAGCTCTCAAAGAGACGATGATGGCACTCACAGTGACAGAGTAACAAGCAGGATGTGTTCCAGCAGACTCTGCAGGGCCCGACTGGTCGAGTGGACCCCACGCTCTCCTGCAATGGGCGATTACAGTAGTACTCATTGCTTCTCACTGAGTTATGTAAGATATTCTTTTTCTTATTAAATGTTAGTCATGGTAAATCGCCTCAGTTTTTGTCTGCATTGACTTTTTAGGCCAATTTAATGGTGACTCAGTTTAGCTGACAGTCATGAGATTGACCTGACATTTATTACCCTGGAAGTGGTCACATGAGGGGTTTCTTGATGAAAAGCTGAGCAGAACAAATTGAGATGAGATATATGCATGGAAAATCTGCTCGACCTGCCCTCCTGATCAATAACTTCTGTAGCATTGTGCTGTAGCCCTGGTGTGTAAAAGGAACAGCAAAGTTTTCAAAGTCTTGGATGTTGCTCATTTCAAGCTGTTTCATTTGTGTTAAGTGAAACGTTAACTTGCTCAGTCATGGTTTGCTTTGTTTTGAGCTTGACTTTATAACCACTGCTCCGAGTGGCTCAAGGTTAAACATTACAGTGGATGAAATTAGTGTTTAACTAACGCTCTCTGTTGCGCTTCAAGGTCTCTTGCTTTGCCCTCGGCCAAGTGGAAGTGGTGGTAGACGATCTATTCTGAGATCTGAGCAACAAGAATTGGACTTCAGCAAGTCTATCTCAGAGGACTGCCCAGCTAAACTGAAGTTATTGATTTCCAGACCTAATTTTTATTATAAACCCCAAAGACCAAAGACTGAAAATTGCTTTGGTTAGTTTAGAGAAAGTAACAAGTACAGGGGAATCCTTGTGGGGTTGTTTGATCAGACCCAGACATTGTGCAGCTTGTGCAGGTATACCAATACATCCTGCAGCCTAAATGTTCTTTCCTTTAAAAATGTGACTAACCTTCATTTTTTCACCCTTGCTTGTCTTTTGGTGACACCCTCGGATTTACTCCCCCTTACCCACCTGCTGCTATCCCAACCATGATGATTATTTGTTTCCTTTGGTAGAGTAGCATCAGTTACTTCTTCTCTGATGAAACAGTGCTGCCTTCCATTAACTGCATGTTTACTCTGGATTTTCCTTTTTTTTTGTTTAGGTGATGTTTGAAGGAAAGGACTAGGGCAAGATGTTTACGACACTTCTTTTTTCTGGGACAGACAAACTTTTTAAGCTAACATCTTCTTTGTATTCTCTCTTGCAGTCACAGAGAAAGAAGTGCAGCAGTGGTAAGTGTGTATATTTACTTTTAATGAGAATGTTTCCTGCCCTGACGGGAAGTTAGTCATAAATCAGAAGTGCTGTCATAACTTAAATCCGAGGTTTGTAACATAATCCAGTTTCAAAAACTACCTTGGTGATTTTTCTTTTACCAAGGAGTTGGTTTCTGCAGTCCATGCATGTTTTTACAGTTGCCTTCAATGTTGATTTGAAGCCATCTCCCTCACATTTCTCTGAAGACAGATGATCTGAAAATAGAACAGCTCTGAAGCTTCACTCAGGCTAAATGACTTTGAAGGCTGATAATACCCATACAAACATTTCCACGATGCATTCCTCCACAACTTTTTTACTCTTTTGCCCAAGGGATGTCTGATAAGTAAGGAATGCCGGGGGTACAGGGCTGACTCATATTGGGGCTTTCATGGCTACATGGCCACAAAGACGCCACAAGGTTGCAGATTAGTAATCTCTCCTGTCAGATGTTGTACCTGCAAGTCAGTGTGACCTGCACCAGCATCATCGTGCTGCAGTTAATGTTGATTTTGTAAAGCTGCTGGCAGATGGATAAGTAACAATGAACCTTCATTACAAAGATGAGTCAAGTACGAGTGTAGTCACTGCTTTTCTCTGTGGCTCGATGCTGGTGATCAAAGGAAGTGTGTGTATCAGAGAGACCTCAGTAAGGGACTCGTCTCGTTTCCATGCTCACACTTTAGTTCTCCTGCTTTGGTTTTGAAGAACAAGGCCAAATTTTGCATGCTTGAAACGAGCTTTGACTCAAGAGGTGGTCGCTCTTCATGTCTGCCATTAAGACTTTCATGGAGGGAAAGAGACCCCCTTCAGTAGTGGCTGCAGCATTAGATATCACCAGGTATTGGAGAGTCGAGTCTCTGGGGCTGCTTTAGTGCATTTGGGCAGAATAAACTCCATCCACCTACACCCCTTTTCAACCTCTACCCTGTCGACTGTGCAGCCTGATAGCTCACCAGCACCCTCACTGTCTTTCACAGGATTTTTTATTTTTTTTGCATGAGTCCTCACTTGAAGATCAGTAGCAATCAACACAGACGAGTGTGAAGGATGAGAGGGAATTTCACCAGGGGAAATGCCAGATGGCGTGCAATTAGAGCACGGGCACAGACACAGAAAAATTAGCAGGGTTAGATAAATGCCTGTGTTGTGCATTAAGTTTGCTCCTCTTTTTAATTCTCCTCTAAGGGAACATCATTAGTATGCCTGAGGCCTACCTGAAATCAATAACAAAATCCCATGGCTCAGTGATGTCCCTGCCAGGGAGGCAAGAGCAAAAGAAACATCCTGTGCAGCTCTGTAACGAGCCACCATGTAGATGCCAATGACAGACTGCTGGTGGAAATAATAAATACTTTATCATTCTGTCAGATCACCAGTGTGGTCTGATGTTACATCTGTTATTTTCCTACAAGTTGCCTCAGTACCAGTACAATCAGACTGTGTGTCCTGACACGAATGTCCCCACAGAGATCTGCTGTACATGATGTGTTCCTGGCAAAAGAAAATCATTCTTGTGAATCTGATGAAAATATGACGCTGCAGATCTGTTTTCAAGCACTTCTTACTGTACCCACTGTACCAGCAAGTGAGTCTTTATGTTAGTACTTTGTGAAGTGTAGAGAAAATCCTGACAATATCCAACACGTAGACTGGCTGATAAATTATAGCTCAATAAAAATAGGTGTTTCAGCTTATTGTTATTAAAGTGTTAATAACTATCCGACGTCAATAATAAGCTGTATTATAATTTAATAAATATTAGGGAAATTACAGTTTAATAATTCATCCGCAAAGTTCTAAAGTCCTGTTTCCTGTAAACGCTGCATGTAAAAGTTAACGCCACAGATTTGACACAGAACAGTTTATTTACAGGGCTCTTAAAGCAGCACTGCATGTGTGTGAGCTACATGTGTTTTTTACACGACTTTTCTCTGTTTCATCCCTTTTGTTTAAAGCAAATCTTGTGAATCTGTCAATGAGAGTTCAGCACCTCTGGGGCCTTTTAATAGATTTGGACTGATCCATTCAGGTCCTCTTCAGATGGAAAAAGGAGGAAGACTTCAGGCACTTTGAGTGCAGGAAATAAAGGACTTGAGAGATTTAGTATTTCGTTTTGCATCTTTTTAGAGTAATTGTCTCAAAAATCAGGGCAGCACCACCCTGACATATATTCATTCCTTTTACGTCATACATTTATTTTATGCTGTCTATGATTATATTGTTATCATTCATGCCTCTGTTTGCTTTTTCCTTTAAATAAAAGACTTCTGTCTGTAACTAGATGCCTACATTTTCCACAAATTACCAGTAATTCTACTAAAACCTGTGTGTGGGGGGGCTTGTGTTTTTGACAGTTACATCCACAAGAGGGCATGCAATAACACAATGACAGATTTGAATACTTGTGTAATTATTTTAACATATAAATATTTATTAAACACCTTCCACACATGCCATTATTCTGGTAATTAAATTGAAATAATTCAGGTTCATATTTTGGTTTGCTCTTAAGTATTTATGCTATAGGCTAACTGTATTGTGTATAACTGTGTATAACTGTGTATTTAGCAAAACATAATGCAATTTTATGCATTTTATACAAGAATTAATCAACTTTCACAGTTGCAGTGTCTGCAATTCAAACTAAATCATTTAGATATTGTAAACAGCCTGGAGTGCATTCATTATTCTCCCACTAAGTTGAGTTGTGTACTTTATAATTACCAGACATATAACTATATACTTACCATTATAATTACCATTCATGTGGTGCTTTTTTTCCTCTGTAGCTCAAACTTCATTTTATTTTTGGTAATAAGCACATTTTGTGGAACTGTTTTTCCTGTGATGAACTTCTTATAGCAGCTTTAGAGAAACCACAGAGGAAGAAATCCTTAACTTTTACCAGCAGAGAGTGTTTTAGATTACAGTTTATAAATGTGTTGATGAGATAACATTTTGACTTTCTGACTTATTAAAAACCTCTCAAGTGAAATAAATTAATTGTGTCAGTATTCGAAGGCCAATTATAACTTTATTCACATTTGTCCAATTTAAAATCAGCACCCTTACAGACTTTTGTGAAGTTATTGTCCATTTCATCATTTATTTGTTCTCTCTTGAAAAAAAGAAGAAGAAGGAATATTCAAATTTTGGGGTGTAAACATGTTAATATGTGCACTAACAGCTCTCTGTCGAAACAAGCACAATACATAAAGAACGTGTCGTCCAGACTTTAATATTTGTCGCATGATCAGATTTTCTTTTGTCAAATCAAAAACGGACTAAAGGACTGGGGTGAAATGGGTCATCTTTGGATTATGACATGCCTTGTGTCTTCTACTCTTTGAATATCAATTAGGTTTTACGTTGTATTACAGTGCGCTGAGCTTTCAATTTCCTGCACGTCTTAAGATTCAGATGTGAGACTCACACACCGTAGTTCTGCTGCTGCCGTCTCTCCTCTCTTCTGGTTGGACTGTTTTCCAGCTGCTGCTCAAAGCAGCTCCCCGTCTCTTTGACTTCATGAAGCAGGCTTCATTATCTCCCAGTCAGATTAAAAGTAAAGAGTTTAGGAGGCGCGAGGAGCCTGTGTGTGTATGAAAGAGCTCAGTACTGGCCTTCTTTCTTTATCAGAGCACTCTCTCTTCTTTTGCCTTAATTATCGCTCTTCTTTCTTCTCAGAAAGCCTGAACAGAACCTGTATTTGCAGAGATACCTTGTGTTGCATCATTTTTGCACAGTTTTATTAACCAGTGTCGTTTCACTGCTGTTTCCTCCTTCCACTTGTCATACTGTATTACATTTAATTTTGTGGAGACTAACCCTGTCATCCCTGCTCCCTGACCTGTTTTTGTTATAAAGACCTTCCAGGAAACTACCTTTGAGTGACTGCACTTCAAATTGCTTATGAGATGCTTCTTTATTTAGGCTGACGGAGATGTTAGGACTTGATATGTCATTTCCAGGAGCGAAGGGAAGCTGTCAGACCTATCTATTAGCTGCGTGTATTATCAAAAGAGAAATGAGGAGGAATTTGATAAGAGTTTGGCTTTGGCTTGCTATTGCATTAAGGCAATCTTATGTGTGAACAGACTTTGCACTTTAGCTTTTGATTTAGCTCTTTCTTTGAGTCAGTTATGCATATAGGATAGGCGAGGAGGTGGCTGTAGCCTTGTCATCTGCAGCAAAGATTATTTTTTTATTTTTTTTTAAGATTTCTAACTTTGTTTTATTTTTCAGGTACAAAGGCTTCATTAAAGACTGTCCAAGTGGGCAGCTGGATGCTGTGGGCTTCCAGAAGATATACAAACAGTTTTTTCCTTTTGGAGATCCTACAAAGTTTGCTTCATTTGTCTTTAATGTATTCGATGAAAATAAGGTTTGTAATCAAATTATTGTTGCTTCACACTCACTAAAAATAGTTGAAAGATATGTTGAAAGTGTCTGAGATGAAAGCTGATTTGTTCTCAGATCAGGCTTCAGCTCTTTCTCTTTGTCAAAAACTCAAATGATTCATCTCATATCTGATTTGTTATTCCAGGAGTCTCCTGCCATTTTCTCTCTTAAGACCTCTTGCTTAGTCTTTAAAAGATAAACATTTTTTTCTCGCTCTCACTTGAAATAGCAATCAAATTGTCAACAATTTTCAAAGAATGAAGGTTTTAGACAAAATGCCACCCATTGTTCATATTATTAGGACAAAATCACTGATATTGATTACATCGTTGCAATGCACATACCACCGTATAAGTCGCATCAGTCCAAGTATGTCTAATAAAGTGGAAAAAACATAAGTAAGTCGCTTCACCGTATACGTCACATCTATTATGCGTCACCGCTGACAACCCGGAAACATGGGCCGTTGTTGTGGCAAAAATCGATTGGCTGCCAAATGGCGGCTGCGGAAGCGTGCACAGGAGGACTTTAACAAGAATTTAACTAGATTAACACTTAAAAACAATTTGTTTGCTTGAAATTATAGCAAAGATGTGTCTCAGTCTAACTTTT